AACTTCAAGACTCTCATCCCCACCCCCACAACCCTCTCCTCCTCTTCTTCTTGTTCCTAAATTTTCCCCGCACGCAGCAACAGGGTGCAGTCGCTTTGATTGGCTGCAGCCTGACATCACCACTCCGAGTCCCACGCCTACAGGGCTCCAGTCGGGCCAAACGAAACAGATTTCCTCTGACCACTCCCTGCAGGCACACAAACTTCTCAAAACACTCCGCAGTCCATAAAGACGACAAGCTCAAGGTGTCGAGCCTGGAAGCTGTAAACAGCTCGGTGGTTTTCTGTTGTTATAAACAGGAGCAACAGATCATTCAGTCTAACCGCAGACTCTGAACGCAGCACAAGCTCATGCTGGGATTTTTAAGAGCTTTAACTGCACGGAAAAACACAGAAAAAACACAAGATCTCACCAGGTATTTTGTCTAGTTTTTAGTGAAAATACCGAAGCACAATGAAATAAGATAAAACCAACTTACAAATAACTTTTCAGCAAGAGATAGGAGCTTGTTTTAAGTCAACAGTGATTAAATAACATAACTTTGGTCTTATAATCTAAGGTTAAAAAAACAGTTCAGATAGAGCTGGAGCTTGCCATGTACTGCAAAAACAAACATATTTTTAGTCTAGATTTTAGAGCAAATATTATAGTATACATGAAATAAAATTAAACTAACTTATAAGTAATTTTCGGCAGGTAAAAAGAGCTTGTTTTAAGTCAATAATTCCTTAATATTGGTGTAACAAAGTACTTATTCCATTGATATTTCATTTAACTTATAACCAGACATTTTTCCCCTGTTATAAGTGAAATAATCTGCTCATGGGATAAGTACTTTTTCACCAATATTGATAAATTATTGACTTAAATCAAGCACTTTTTATTTGCTGAAAGGTTAATTGTAAGTCAGATTGATCTTATTTCAAGTCCACTATGTTTGTGAAAATACTTGGTGAGATTTTGTGTTTTTGCAGTGCATGAGAAATGTTGTTTAACATTGGTTCATAAGACAAAGATCCCAGTGTGATATAGTTCTGTCACATGTCTCAGATGATCACAAAGGACGTACTGATGCTCTGATTTGAAGCAGAAGAAAATCAGACATTAAATTAAATCTTTCACAAATAATATTTATACTTTAGGACCAGAGTTGGGTAGCAGCTAATTATTTACAGATTCTGAAAGTGTGGATTTTAAGCTTTCCAATCATGTCAAACACATGGAAATTGAGGAGCAAAATAGTTATTATTTCCTAACACATGTTGTATGAATACAACCACCCATCTATTCATCGATTGTATTTAACTAATTTAATTTAATCATTTTTAATAAAAAAATATTAGTAGCTGTATCATGTGCGAGCAGAGCAACAAAGAGCCGAGTATTATTTTCCAACACATCTTTTGTTAGGCCAGGTGTGGCGTCGCGCTTTAAGATGACGTCACGGTAAAATATAAATAAACGTGAGGAACATGCAGTTCCTTACGGAACACTAGGGGGCGCCCCCCGCGAACTGGCAGCTCCTAAAAGACTTTTAGGGGAGTCTTTACTTTTTACTTGAGTAATTGTATCATAAAATATCTCTGCTTTAATTTGAGTAAAATGTTTGGATACTCTACCCACTGTGTGTCAGATTACCTTAACTACAACAAAAATTATACAGTTTTTGTAAAAGTTTCAAAAGTTTTATATTGAAAGAAACTAATTTGGGATAATGTTACTTTGCCTGATTTTGTTATTTGTCTAATTATTTTATTCATATAAATTATTTTCAGTTTGATCTTTAAAATACCAAAATTTCCTTAATATTTGGGTCCGACTGATGATGTTATTTTCAAATATTAAATGATTGATGTTTTGATCAGTTCAATACTTGATTTGCCCTTTTACCAGATTCTTTTTTTTTTACTCTTACTAGAGTAATTTCTTGGATGAGTTTTTCTTACTTATACTTGAGTAAAATATGATGAAGTAGTATTGCTGAAGTAGTATTGCTCAGAGTAAACATTGTACTCTGGTACAATGTTTTATACTGGATCAATCTCTGTAAAAAACAGATTATTTTCTTCTTACAGCTGAAGAAAACATGACGTTAAATCAGAAAAGTATGCTTAATACTTGCTTAAAAGTTATTTAAAAAAGTAGTTTTAGTCTAACAAATAAGCCTCTGTGGGACACATATTGTAATTTATTAAATATGTCTGTAATCACATGCACATTGCACAAAAAACCCAAACCAGATGACTGAAAGTTGCAAAGCCATCTGGCACAAAAGGAGGTGAGTTGTAGTTATGAATGAAGCTGACTGTTCCAATGTGAAGCCTAGGAACAGTCAGCTTCACATTGGTTTTTAGTTCGTAACAGGATTTTATTCAACCCTTAAAATGGCCTGAATGCAGAACATCTTCCAAGAAACTCTAAATTCTGATAGTTTCCTTCAGATTGCTGCGATTTCATTTGAAATTTGCCTTATCTCAGATATGAAATTGCTCTGACTTGTTCGGCTCAGAACAAGCTCCAACGATAAACACGCTCATCTTGGAATGTCTGCCTAAATGCAAACCCATATCGGAGCGAAATAATCCACATCAGATTGAGCACTTTAAGCTTTAAATTTGTCTTAGGAATTTTAGCCTTTAACTTAAGTCTCTTTAAGAGATTATTCCTTCTGTTGTTCTAAATTGAGCTTTGTATTTTTTAGGCTACTGGGGTTTTTGTTATTACTGATATTTCTAGTTTGGCCCCCAAAAACTGTCTGTCATAAATCAACTGTAATACAACAGCAGTTATAGCTTGATGTGTTGCTGCCCTGTATAGAAAAGCTGGTTCATTAAAGCATTTAAATAAGTGTGTGTAGAGCGAAACTTACACACACTTAATATCACACTGAATGTTTTAAAACTTATACATTTTAAAACACATTAAATTTTTAATAACAAAGATTTAATGTTACATCTTCAGTTTTCAGTTTTCATTAGTAACAATTTTTATTGTTACAAACATTTTAGTAACAATAAAAATTGATACTAATATTAGTAATAAATTAATAATAAATAAAAATTGTTGCTAATTGTTACTAACATTTCAATACAGAGCACATTTGTACAGAGTAAGAATAAAGATGTCAAACTACATTCTTTGTTGTTTCTAAATGAGTAAATTTTGGATTTACATCCCAATGAGAAATACTCTGAAATTCCAATTAACAGATTTTCACACACTTGGGTAACACGTGAGAAAAGATCAAGAGTAAACATGAACACTTTATCGAATTAACTGGCAATCAGATGATTAAGTGAATGTTAAGGCCCGCTCCTCTACTTTTATTTTTAATCTTGTTTAAAACATTTCGTCTGACTTTCAAATTAAGGTTGGATATCAATGTGACATCAGTTTTATCTAGTAATAGATTAGTTTATTTTTTGTTTGTTTGTTTCTTTCTCTGTTATGTTTGGCTGGATTGTGCAGCACTTTGGTCAACATTGTTGGTGTTTTTAAATTATTTTCTATGCATCACAGTTACATAAAACAAGCAAACCTCTGAGAGTTAGTAAAAATCTTTCCAAAGTACCACAATTATGAAAGTTAGAGAAAACTTTCACATTTTTGCTGAGGCCAGCTTCCCAGGAACACTGTTCCTTAATCCAAGTCTTTTTCCATTTCAGACTGGAACAGAATAATACTTTACTAAAGAGTTGTGTGAAAACAGGAGGTGCATTTTTCTCACAGCGTAGATGGTGACTTCTCCTCTTTTTACAGATTAGCGGGTGGAAAATCGCGCTGATTAGTTGCTGAATTAGGCATGAGAGGTGCAGCCACAAGCAGGGTGAGCCTTTAATGCTTTTCATACAGAAAGCCTTTTCTCAAACATGTTTCTACAGCAGCCCAGAAGAGACAAATCCAAACAAACACTGGTTCTATGAAGAACCTTTAACATTGTTTACCAAACCAGCAGCCTTTATATTCACCTCTAGATGAGGAAAGACACTTAAAACAAATAAATTCTTTATTAAAGTAGCACTGAAAAGTAAAAATTCACATGAAATTTGAGAAATGTGAAAAAAAAGCCATTTTTAGAAATATTTCTTAACATTACAGAAAGGCAGCTTGAACTTTTCACATATCTGTAGCACAGTGAGACCTTTGACCTTTTCTCTTTACAGTGTCTCAAGATTGTGAAGACGCCGAGTTTTCCATTCCACTGTTGATTTGATCATTTCTTTCATGCTGAACCCACCTAGAGTGTTTGTTGCTGACAGAAATCTAAGCTTTATCTGACCAAAGCACACAGTTCTAGTTAAAGTCCCAGTGGAGATAAGCTAACTGTACATTTATGTTTGTGATGGTACGACAGATAAGGCTTTTTCGGCTGTTATAAAGTTGGAACAAATATGCCACTCTTCAACTTTTTTGAATCCCTTATCAAACTGTTACTTGTACATGTTGGTAGTCTAACCTTGGAGAAAAAAAGGCAAAACGAAACGGGCTAGTGTGTTACGTCATATTTTGACTCCAGAGAAACAGAAACTCATATTTTGACTCCAGAGAAACAGAAACTCGTGAAGCACCAAGTAGTTCCTGGAAACTCTTCAACTTTTATAGTTGAGTTTAATCTAAAACTTGATACCAATATTGGCACTGCATGCGATTATGTGCTGTTGAAACAAGATTTTTGCAAATGGTCAATAAAAATATATGTAAACATTTGAATTTGATGAAAGTTACAAAAAAAAATAAAAAGTTCTCAGCAAGTTTTTCAGCTTTAAACAAATAGAATAATTTTGGTAATTCTAATACGAAACCAGAAAAGTTTTAGATCTGACTTAACTTCAGACAAGGAGGGAAAAAATTACTGCATGTTTATTTATGGTGTGTAAATACAATTATTGTTTGCCCCACTAAGTGACATTTTTACTGTTTGAAGTTTTATTATTTTTTTTAAAATAAAAGCATTTAAGAACTAATTTCTGTGCAAATAATGATCACAAACTGAAACGGTGTACAGTGTTGGCTTTTTATTCTTCTGGAGGTCAACAAAGGTCAACTTGCATACACATAAAAAGTTGAGGACCATCAGACAGCTTGTTTGGAGTGTTTTGAATGACATCATGTCGATTTACAGAAAATGCAAACCACATAAATACAGTTAAAATATTATACAGCAAAGGTCAATAAATTATCCACAGGGTGAGTTAAATAGATCAATTTACAACCTTCAGTGCAACATGACATTATGTTAAAGCATTTTCACTGTTTAGTCGGAACATTAAACGTTTTTCCATTATTATTTTCATACAGCAGCAATTTTCCATGATAAATACAGCAGATAACATATCAGGATTACTTCATCCTCAAAGGAGCTAAAAAGTGAAAATATTTTACCAAAAGGAGATGTCACCTTTGTCAAAGCTTCAATCAACTTCAAGCAGTTCAAACAAATTTTTACACCAATAAAAGCTACAGTGTTTGAACAATGTGGAGAAGAAAAAAAACCAAGGCACAGAAATGAAAAAGCAGGATATTGCAGCAAATGGTCAGTAAATTGTTAAAACATTTCCTCATTAAGAATCAAAATATCTGATTATTTCTATCATAAGTTGGGATAGATTTCCAGATGATGTCAACGAACCCTTCAGAATAAAGCGACTCTCTTGGATCACAGAAATGCCCCGACAATAAAATCTTTTATCATAGAATCATGCACTTTTATTGATCCACCTGCAGTCTATCTGCATATTGAATTAATAGATTTAAAGTTTTCAGGGGAATCTTATGTTCAACAAGCAAAAACTTCACTAGCAGCAAGAGACACTATAGTAGTTAGAAAACAACAGACTCAAGCAGCAGCTTTACTGTGATTACTATACATTTACATTAGAGCACAGAACTATTTAATCTGAAATGCATAATGTTGATGTTTGTTGATTAGCTGTGGCAGAGAATAAGGAGCAGAAAGACTGAAGTGTTAATGGAAGCCAATAAAGTGGAGAAACAAGAAAATGTTACGTTAATTTATCTAAATTCAACCTGTCAAAACACACAGCTGCATGCCAATAAAATCCATGATCAATAAAAAGTTCAGTTATTTCAGAAAATCATTTCAAAATATGAAACGTAACTAAGAATTATGGCTCATAACTAATGAAGAGCCAAATTGTTTCTCAGAAAATTATAATATTACGCAAAATGAACAAAAGAACCAATCAGTTGTTGAAACAAAATGTCTTTGCAAAATTCGTCATCTGTTCAGAGCTAAGCACATTAGCTGAAAGTTAGACGGAAGGAAAAAAACCAAAACCTAATTTATAGCTTCAGTCATGAAAAATTATTTTTTTTTACATAGTTGTTGAAACTTTCACTAAATCCTGATAAATTATGAAAGATAATCTGTGAAAATAAATAAATATATGGAAAAAAAGAAAAAGAAAACTCCCCCTTGTGGTCTTACCACAATTTGCAGAACTAAACCACTCAGGCATAAAAAAAGGGTCTTAGGAGTGTCAATCATGCTTGTGTACACACTGCTCAAAACTGTGGGTGTGCTAATAGCAGAGAAACAATCTAACATTATAGAAAAGCTGCCAATTTCTCACACAGTGATCGCCTTCATGCATTGTTGCAGAAATTTCACTGACTTATGCAATTTTCTGAGAAACTGTTAGGATTTCATTAGCTTGAAGCAACAAACTTAAAAGCCAAAGTTTTATGTTTTGAATTAATTAATTGAAATATATAAACTTCTGCTGGGCTGCTTCATATTGAGTGCGATTCTTACAGAAGATAACTCCCGAAAGCGGCTCGATGGTTAGGACGTTAAATGGCTTTTTTTCTCAACGAAGCTGCGGCCAGCCAGGAGCTGCGTTTCCATCAAACATAAAAATACGCAAATCAAAATTACAAAAATAAATTTGCTTAATAGAGACAAGACAATTTGGGAGAAACTCACATTTTTCAATATAGGTTTTGCATGTGTAATTCCCAAACTGCAATGGAAAGACTTATATTTGCATCACACGGGTCATGTGATCGACGACCGGATGTTACTACTGGCAGAAACAACAAAGTCGATGACAGGAAATAGAAATAAGAGTTTGTTTTTGTGGACAATGTGCAGCTGACTCCACCAGATCTCCCACAGCATCGCACAGTTCATAAAAGCTTTATCGTTTGAAAATGTTAACTCCATAGCTCTTCGATAAAATTGCAACAATTTTCCCAAAATGCCGCACACAGAGCCGCTCTAGCAGAGGTCTGTTGCGCCAACGTCTCCTCTGATGGCTGATAGATGGTGAGCGCTACCGGCAGAATTTATAATGACTTATCGCATGAACAAACTTATTCTTGTGTGTGACGGAAACACAAAATTCTATTTATTCCAGGTGAGGATGTTAATTCAACAAATCTTAAATGTACTTTCTCTTTCACAGGGTCTTTTCGACCGAGGCATTCACCAGGACGTCCTGGTAAAGTCACTAGTGCTTCTGAGGGCTTTATAAGCCTGGCGGGCCACCAGGCTTTACATGTGCCCCCACCAGGCTAAACATTGCTTTATTTATTTGAGGTTTTTTATGTTTTCCATGGGTCCCTGGAGGATGAGTGAGCTCGGCTCACCTCCCTATCTTAAAAAAAATAAATAAATTTTACAAAGTAAAATTCAAGATTTGCGCACATTTGTAATGGAAACGCAGCCAGTGTTGAACCAAAAGTCAGGCAGGAAATAGGCACCAGTCTGCATAGTTTGTAAAGTAAGACCTCCACTGAAGACTTCTCAAACTGATTATTTATGGTTCTGACCTGAGGCGGTGACGTTATGGCTGATCTATTTCCACAAAAAAACAACCTTGTTTACTGACCTCTAGTTAAAGGGTGTAGCTGACAGGCAAGGAAAGACAGAAGGTAAAACAAGACAGGTAGGAGTTAGACGACAACAGCGAGCTCCACTGAGATCTGTCGGTAAATGTCCGCCGCTCATTTTAAGAGACGATCATTCTAGACGAGCTCAGGGTTTCCCCCAGTGCTTTCTAAGCCTGGCAGGCCACCAGGCTTTACATGTGCCCCCACCAGGCTAAGCATTGCTTTTTTTTCTTTTTTTTTTCATTTTTAAGACTTTGTAGTTGGTGTTTTGGTTTTAATCTTCTAATAACACATAATTATAAAGTGATATTTTCACATTTCTTGTCAACTTTAAACACTTATTAACTCAAAAATACGACGGGCCACTGGACGAATAAATGCCCTGGCGCCAAACCACCGGGCTTAGCAGGTTTTCTGGGAGAAACCCTAAAGCTAAAGTCTTTTCGATGCTAAAGAACGCCTAACAGGCCGGACAAGGTTGCCAGGTTAAAGGCAAGAGGGTGCGAAGACGTTAATGCCTCCAGAGAACAGATCACAGCCTTGTTTCTGAGTCAGAGGATAGCAAATACTGTACAAGAAGGATTCTGTTTATGGAATAAATACTGTCGATGGTTCACCACAATACACCGTGTTGAAAAAGACAAAACAGACACAGTCAGTGAGAGAAGAGAGAGAGAAATGAGCGGCAGGTTAGACTCTTCATCCTCCTCCACGATGCATGCAGGTTTCTCCACACCAAGAGGCTGGGATGGAAGATTCTGTCTTTTTTTAAATCTTTTCAGATTTTTTTCACTCCATGGTGGAGAGGGATTAATGCAGCGTCATATCTGGGATGGACAGGATGTCTGAGGTCAAGCAGGGAGGATGGAGGAATTAGCCGGGTGGAGGGGAAGTCACAAGATGAAGACTGGTCCTGATGGAGCAGAGGGGTTTTGGAGTGATGGTGGGAGTGTTTCAGCGCTACGGAAACAGGGGGAGACAGAGACAAAACAAAAACATTAAGTTCAACTTAATCAGAAAGAAAAGAACTGATAATATGAGAGTGAATGATAATGACAAGCAGAAATCCTGCAGTTACTCGCAAAATCATTCTAACAGCTTCCACGTTTTGGTTACAACCACACACTTTAATGTATTTTATAAAGACTTTATGAGGAAAAAAAAGTAAATCTGAAGCATAAATATAGAAATAGATCACCACAAATAGAAACCTAAATAAATGGTCTTGCATTTGAATTTATGCTTGAACAATAAAGCCTCCAGTCACTAGGGGGCAGCACACAACATGTTCAACCCAGTAGAAGATGGAGACAGAAGTCAGTGGAAGTAAAACAGAAAATGCCATTTGCACAAAAAAATGTTAAAAAGTGACATACCATGGATAAAAAATAATCAATGCTTAGTTTTTTAAAGTTTTGAATGTTTCTCTTGCCAACGCAATGAATCATTTGCAAGGTTTCTCGAGAATCACACAATCTGAACAATCTTAAACATTAAAAACTGAGTTTATAAATGGAAAATGGCTCAAAGCGACAAATTTTAGTTGTTACTGCTCATTTTTATGAATCTGTGTTGATTGTAAGCAGCATGTTGGTGCCAATAGAGAGAAATAATTTTAATTCTCGATATGATTTATATTTGGAGGTCATGAAAGCCATAAATTTCTTCTTGCAACTCCATCCATACACATCAGATCTGCAGTTCACCGCAAGTCACGTAAAAACGTTACATAAGAGTAGCAAGGAAATAGCGATACCTGAAACAAAACTAATATTGCAAATCACCCTGCAAAATAAAACCGTAGTTCCCTCAGATGATTTGCAAATAAAGAACAAAATTTCAGCCTTTTGAATCATACAGCCTAAATTTGTAGAAATTAGTTAAGAAATTGTCTCAAATAGAGTCTCAATAAAACACATAGAGGTTTGTGGTTGTAATTTGACAAAATATGGAAAAGTTCAAGTGCTGCGAAAACTTTAACAAGTCACCACAAGCCATGCAACAATCAGCAATAAACCAATTAAACCTACAAATCTCTTGCCAAAACACATAAAGGTAAAAAAAACAGAAGACATACAAAGCAGCTTATTTAACGTCTCATATATTTATAAAACTTTTTAATCATAAAGCTGCTACTTTTTCTTGCGAGAGCATTTAGAATGAGAGCTCCGGGCCCTGGAAGATGCAGCCTGACTTTTATTACCACAGTTCCTGTTGGCAGCACTGTGTGATTCATCTGTGCTTCTATTTATGGCGGTGGAAGATCTGCCTCTAGACTCTCTGCAGACTCCGCTCATCCTGGGTTTACCAGGCGGGTTGTGAGCAGACAGAGCCGCGACTGTTTGGGCCGCTGAGTATCTGGAGTTGGGCTGTGAATGGGCCGACTCTGGCGGCAACGAGTAGCTGCTAGCAGCTGCTCCTTGCACGGATTTGGATCTGTTCTGCTTCTTCCTCACAGAGGCGTCTGGGTGTGTTTTTGGGTCGGGCTTTTCCCGGCTCTCGCCCCATGCCTTAGTTGTGTTAGGAAACACACACAAAGCTTTAGAGGAGGTTAGATCATCAGTAAGTGAAGAGGAAGCAGACTTCTGTCTGCTGGAAGAGGAAGAAGCAATGTGAGTTTTGACAAAAGTGTCCTGGCGCACAGGGACCGAAGCTCTCCGGCCTGACGCAGCCTTTCGTCTATCACTTGTACTGACTGTCAAGTCACTGCTCAAAGAACTGGTGGAGTCTTTACGAGCCAGAGAACGTCTATGACTCACCTGCGTATTAAAAACATCACTGATACTACGACTTCTAATGAAGGTGGCATCTCTTGGGAGACCCCGGCCACCGTGGGACCGGCTGCTTGTGTGAAAGCTGCTGTCGGAAGAAAGAGAAGAGGAGGTTCTTACAGGGCTTGTGTGGAGACTTCGGGTTAGAGCTCGCAAGTGGTGGGTGGCCGAGGCGGGGACGCTGCTGCCGAGGACGGGGCTGGCCCGCGGACTGCTCCTCAGCTGGGGCCTGCCGGGGCTGCTGCGGGGGCTGCGGGAGGCCCGGCCCGACTTGGCGGCTAGCTCTTTGGCCCGGGAGCGCCGGGGGCTGCTGTTCAGGCTGCGGGGGGCCTGAGGGGCCTCCAGGTCCTCCAGACGCTGAGTGAGGGCCAGTTTCTGCTGGATGGCCATGCGCAGGAGGGAATTAAGAGTCTTCTTCTCGTCCTCAGCAGCGGCAAGCTGCCTCTGCATCTCGTCCAGCTGGGTGACGTACTGATCGCACCTGAAAGACGTGGACAGTGTCAACATGCAGCATGCACAAACAGGCAGGCAGGAGCTCATCAAAAGGCACACAAAAACAGTTAGGTTAAAGACAAGAGTGAGTGTGTTACAACCAACACCAACTAGCACCGCAAATAAGACGACTTTTAGAATCTGAAATGTTGCTAATTACGTCGGAGAACTCAAACAACTTATGCTGCATTCAGACTAAATCCGATTTGAGCTTCAAGGAGCAACATAGAAAATGCTGTAGATGGAAAATATGAACTTTTGTAGATGAACACAGAGAGTCAAGCAATCTGAGACTTTGCTTTGTGACCTGTAGAAGAATGCAATCCTGCAAAAAAATTCTAATTGGATTGTTTGACACCTACAAAAAAAAAAGAGGTTTTGATCACTTCAAAAAATTTCTGAACATTCATAATTTTCTTTAAATATGAGGATTGAAATTGATGATGCCACAATTATAAAACCTATGATGCTACATTGCCGTCTTCAACAGCATTTTGTTGAGTTTTAGAACCACAGACAAAACAAAACGAAGTAGGAAGGTGAACGAAGGATGAGTCGTCCATGTGCAGTTCTAGCATCCCTCCACATGGTGGCACCACTAACCTAGGCTTGAACCATAACCTTTTCCAAAGCCGTAATCTGTTGGATCAGACTTCAGCCGTCCTTGATTACTGTCTGTTCTGGAATCCATCTTAAGGATAATCAAGTAGCAGCTCATAAATGTCTGCAAACAGACCAGACAAGCTGAAACTCGTCCAGGAACCTCTGGGCTCTTTAACACCTGCTACAAAAATTTAAAAATTTAAATAATAAAAATCTGGGAGTCATGCATGTTTCTAGTATATTGTATTGGTATAATCACTGCTTTCCAATCGAGCAGAGGAGTTTAGTGAGGGAGAGTTTGGTGATCTTGGTTTTGCTGACTTTTACTCGTTTCGTGCAAATGTTCGGCCCTCTTCCTCCCCAACTTGACCCGCCTGAACCGGACAAAATAACTCATGAGGCCCGTCCTTTTCCCCGCACAAGGCAGAGCATGTGGCTTATAATCTTCACGTGAAGTCGTGGAGAGTGCACGGGTGTAATAAGAATGGTAAGCTCATTAACCACTAACGAGTGCTTTTACAAAGCATTCAGTGCTAGAAAAAACTTTTAACAATATTTTTTCAGGTCTTATAACGAGTAATAAAAAAATAAAAACCTTACCTGCTGGCAAACATGACTCTGAGAGACGAGAAGGTGGCGGCGTCCTCCTTCAGGGCTTTGAGCTCATTCCTCAGTTTCATCATGGTCTCCGACACCATGCTCTTCTCCGTCTCATACTTGGTTTTCAGATTAGACAAGGCCAACTCAGCCGTCTGCAACGACACAAACATAAACAACCTCGAACATTTAAACAAGGTTTGTGAACCTTTCACAGCGTAAAATTCAAGCAAATGAAGGTTTTCAAACTTTTCCAGCACCAACTTTAGAGTTACAAACAAATGAACTAAACAATCTCAATTCAACATATGTATTATTTATTAATGTTGATATTTTGTGATAGTACTCTACAGCATAACTGTAACTAAAACATAACAAAATGTTGTGTTTAAGTGTCTCACACACCCCAAATACTAGACTGATCCGAGAACAAAACACCAATTCAAAAAAAATAAATAAAAAAATCCCCAGTTTTAATAACTTTATTTAACCTATAAATATAAGCAACTTTTATTTCAATTATAGGGCTCAATAAGTTTATTAGGAATAATAATATTCATTATTAAAATAAATCGCCTGATGGTAAATTAACTTCTTGCTCAAATTAAATGCTCCCCATACAAAGTTACAAAAATTTTTTTTAAAAAAGAAACAATCCCAAGTTTTCTGGCATTTAGCAAATAGAAGTAATTTTGGTCATTCTAACTACACAGTGACAAAAAAAAATGTGTTTGCGTCTTTTTATTGGCCGTATAAAAATATCTAGTTTTAACAAAGCTTTTTATTTGAGTTATTTGGTAGAAGCTCTGTGAAAAAACAGTTACCAACTGAAGCAAACGGATGTAAAACAAAAAAAAAAAAGAGTGAAAAATATGATACACAACTGAACCAGAGTTCACACTAAAAATAAATGAATGCCGTTTGACTGACATCAGGAAAAGCAGCGGGTCGCTTCTTCAAACAGAACATTAAGACGTTCTGTTGGTACCAGAATAACAGGAAGCAGGGCATGAGGACTGTAAAGCCCTTGATGATGCTAAGATCAGCAGGAATCTGCACTGATAGTAAAGACAAACCAAATCTAATGCAGTATTATGAATATTTTATTATAGACGAACCAGAGTCCTGAGCCCAGTCTGTCCCAGTAACAGCGTCATCAGTTTAACAGTGTGACGTGAAAATAAACATGGAATATATCAATTCCAGACAAAAACGTCACCTGGAGAGTGTTTGGAGAAACCGAGAGAAACGACAGAAGTAGGTCAGATGAGATAAACGAGTGGAGGAGAAAGCAGGCTTAAGCTCTGGAAAGTCTAAAAATCATTCAGCATTCAAAGAGCTAAGGAAAAGGGAAACTCACTGGCCCCTTTATTAGGTACACCTGATGATGGCGATATGTATATTAGCCAATCAGATGGCAGCAACTCAATGCATCCCGCATGGTGAAGTAGGGTTATATGGCTTATTATGCTTCCTGGAAGAGATTATGATACGTCTATGGCAATCTTTTTTTAAACTGTGCTCCGCGTAACAACTGCTAATTTACCATGACGTTAAGCTAACTGTGTGACGCTACAGTTAGCTAACCAAAGGCTTGCGTTTAAAAATAATAATGGATAAATGACTGAAGACCGAGTCACTAAAAAGAAAGCCTGAAGATTAAGGTGGAAAGTTTCTCAGGATGTGTTGTGTAACTTTTGTTTTTGAATGCTTTTATGTTAAATAGCATTGAGCGCTGCGCCCCACACTGACTAACTGCATCTTAACACCTAAAGTAACATTATTTATGTTCGGCTAACTACTGGCTGAAAGAAAATGCTTGTTTTTGCCAACACAACTCAAGTCTATTTTTCTTTTCTTATGCTTTTAAATTACAAATAGTCCTGAAATGCTACTAAGTGCAAACAACACTTGAACTTTTTAGAATCCATACTTTCAGAATCTGTAAATAACTAAAAATAACTTGTTCATGGTTTTATTGCACCACCCTTTAGATTCGGAACAATATTAACAGACTAAAATTTTCATTTCAGGTTGTATATATTAAGATGTTGTGTTATTGTACGGGTACTTTCAGGTTAGGTGGTCCATGAGTGTTTGTTAAATGGGGTAAAGTGGTCCTCAGCCTGAAAAAAGTTGGAGAAACACTGGTCTATGGGTCATACATAACATGTTCATCACATTTCTGCATAAAAGTTTAGCCTGAATTGACAGATAATACTGCGGGAATAACCAAATAACCTAAGAGACGAGGAAAAGCGCAGTAGCTTCGTTTACCTGCTTGTTTGCCTTCAGGACAGTCCGCAGGGTTGCGATCTGCTCTCTCTTCGTGCTGAGAAGGGATTTGAGTTTTAGGACTTCCTCCAAAAGGCTTTCGGTATCCCGCTCTGACTCCTCGCTGCTGCTGAGCCCAGAGTACGGCATCGCTCCTCTCTGACGGCAGAGGTCCACAGCCACCTGGGTGGACATGCACACAGGGACAGAGAAAAGTGATTTAATGGATTTCTTTCTGCTTTGCTAAATTTATTACACTTCTGCAGCAGTTTAAAATAACAAATCACTATATTATTTACAATATATTCAGCAACATTCTATTCAAATTTCTAGAATAGAGGTGGGCGATTTGGACTATGTTTTATCTTGATATTTTGTACTGTTATTGTGATAAAGATAAATGTGACAATAAAAACTATTCATTATGTATTAATTAGGTAACAGAATATCTGTGATTGTCCTTAACACAAATGTTACTCTTTAGAAACATTTCCATTTGCAATACTCTTCTTTAAGTCACCAGTCACATCATATTTCATAATATTTTCAATTTTATTGAAAAACTGTGGAGAAAATGGTAAAACTAAATCCTGACAATATGGACAGTTTGAACATTAATTTGAATTTTTCACGATAAATGACGAGATAAATCCCCACCCTCCGTTGTAGAATTAATTTTTGCATGGAAAATGTTTTCACTTCAGAGAAAGAACTAAGATAAGCTTTCCAGTGTTTAAGATAATGTTTGCTCAAACAAATGTGTTTTCCTGAGGCCACAACTCAACTTTGACCCCTGGTAATCCGATTCATTCAAACAAACACACACAGGCACGTGTCAGCACAGCCCTGAACCGGCGCTGGATTTGAGAGGCGCTCAAGAACATTTGCTGTCTGAACACAATGTCAGGTTCAAGGAAAACTGTACAGAGGAAAAAGCCTGGCTTTTAGTCGCAGTCAGAAAATAAGATTTGGAAATTATTTACGCCTGTTTGTAAGAGGTGAGCTGGCTCTGCCAACCAGGTTCAATCCTGGGACCCCTCATATTTACCATCTACATGCTACATTACAATGTCACCAGGTGACTCTCAACTCATACAAGCACCAAAAAGAACAAATCAATGTGTGGATGGGACATAACTTTCACCAGATAACCAGAAAAACTGAAGTATTATCTGTGGACCTAAAGAGGAACAATCTAGAGTCAATCTAGAGTCAATTAATCTCTAGTTAATTATTATACTAATTAACTAGAGATTTGTTCTGAACATTTAGAGCCACATAGAGATGGGTACAAAGTCAGCCTTCTATCACCTGAAGAACATTTCCAGGATTGGAGGACTAATGTCTCAGTGAGATCTAGAAAAACTGTATCTAAGAGAATTTACTTTTAAATGCTGCAGTTAGTTTATAAATCACTGAATGGCTCAGCAACACAACACATTAAAGATCTGCTGTTGTATCACCCTTCCAGACCTCTCATGCCTTCTGGTACTGCTCTGAGTTCCCAAAACCAGAACCAAACATGGAGAAGCAGCATTCAGCTTCTATGCACCACAAATCAAGAAATCTGCAAACAGCTGAAACACTGAGTTCCTCTTAATCAAGGCTAAACAGCCAACAGTTTAGAGCTGGCTTTGATTTGTAATAACTAGAACACTGATCAATATATTTTATGTACATCTGCTTGATTTCAATATGTGTATTAGCTGTTTCATAATTGATGACTGATGTTTTTATGACTTTGAACTGCCTTGTTGCTGAAATGTGTTGTACAAATAAACGTTCGTGTCTCGAACACCGCCCTCTTACCCTGAGGTGCTTGATCTGGCAGCGGATGACAGCAACCAGGTTGGATACATTGGACGGGTCCCTGAAATCCAGAGTGGGGGATCCGGGACAGGTCAGCGAGTCTGCACTGGATCCTGCGCTGTCCACCTCGCCCATGAACTGCAGCGCCGCAGCTTTGGAGATGAACATGTCGTTTGCCCGAGGCTTCTTCTGAGCGTTGTGTTGGGCGAAGACGTAGTGTGACCTCCGCATTCCTCCTCCGCCACCACCCCTAGCGCTGTCCCGGTAGTAGTCCAGGGTGACCCGTTTGGGCGTGATGTTGTTGCACACACAGATGTGGTGGTAGAGGTTGGACAGCTCCTCGGAGAAAGCCAACAGCTCCTCCTGAGCGACGCTCAGATGCCCTTCAGAATCGGTCGCCACTTTCCGGGTGGCTCCGATCTCCTTCTCCAGCTCGCCGATGCGCTCTTGATCCTGCTTGCTGGACTTGATGCACTGCCGGATCTTGTCGGCCAGCTCCTGGGCCTCGCCCCTCCAGCGCTCCTTCTCCTGCTTGTATCTCTGCTCGAGGGTGTTGTACCGCGCACCCGCCTGGGAGAGTTCGTCTCGCAGCTTCAGGAGCTGTTCGCTGGCTGCGCGCATTCGTGCTTCCAGCACCTCTTTGCTCTTAGTGTCCACCTCGTAGTCGAACCCCTCACTGCCGTCCTCTCCGGTTTCCACCTTCTGCCTCTCCTCTGCCTCCGGGTTTGGACGCGGACTACTTTGCGCAGCTTCCAGCTGCTGAGTGAGAGCGCCAACCTTGTCTTCCTGCTGACTTAGAGCCTGTTTGGACATCATCAACTGCATCTGCAGTTCCTCCACTTTGCTACCCAGGCTGGATTTCTCCCTTTCTGCCTGAAAATACACACAAATACACAAAAAACATTTAAAAAATGTAAATTAGGAAAGCAGGTAATCGATCAATGAGTTAGTTTAAGGTTGATTTATCTCATTGATCAACTAACGATTAATAGAAGCCAATGTCTTTCCATATCAAAGGGCTAAAATGTTCATGTTATACTAAATAAAAAAAAAAAATAAATATATATATGTATATATTACCATTATTTTGTGTCACCTCTTTTAAATACTGATTGAATAAACTGAAAATTGTGGCTCTTACTAAACTTAGACATATTTTAAAATTGAAATGAAACGGAAACCTCCCTGGCTGCTGAATAGAAAATTAAACGATGAAAAGAACAAACATTAACTGAGATATTTATATAGTCGTACCAGTGATGGCTGGTGGTGATATTTGAAAGGTGGGCCAATATATTTATTTATATTTCTAAACAGATACGCATAAAGTGCATGTTATATCCCACACCGGACTCAGTTTGGGCCGTTTCCATTTCCCGCTATGCTCTGAATCCGCCATCTTTGTTTCTGCATCACTCTCGGATAACCAGCGGCGCCCTCTGCTGGCTGGCGGCTAAACTACAACACTAAAATGAGCTCTAAGCGAATGTCATCACTAGAAAAAAACACTCTAGCCACTCATAGTTTTCTTTTAAACAATTCGAATTGACTTTATTTATTTTAAGAAAACGAAAGGATGATTTCTCAGACCTCCCCCTCCCTCTTCATGCATTTTTAATGTAACCACATGCAGATCCAGAGCCCAAACATCTGCTAGACAGGAGCTTTTAAACCCAACCCCCCAACTTAAGTGCATCATACATAATGCATTTCCTCCAAACAAAGAGAAGGGACAACTCGATATGTTCTCAATTATTCGAGACACATTCTCTTAGAAGGAAGCTGAACTGACAATAAATAGGAATGGACTAAAATTTCTCAGTGAAGCAGTTGTTACGAAACAGTGCTAATCCTGCAACAACACAGAGCGGATGTGGTTTCCGACAGGAAGTGCCAGCTAACAGCTGCGTCACACAGACTAAATGGTGCTGAAACTTCCTCACTTGGGACAATTATGAATGTTAGTATTTAACGGAATCTGAACACACAAAGAGGAGTTTCATCTACAGATTTATGTAGTGATTTGTTTTGGTAGAGACAAGATGACAAGAGCAGGCTAATATTAAAACACACATACTCATTTAAAATGAATGAACGGGTGTGTTTTTATTCAAAAGTAATATGCTCAGTGAGAAAAATATGTAATCCCTTTATAGATTTATTTTATTTGTCACTCAAATATTTTAAACTATAAAACACACCATAAGATAAAAAGAAAACCATCAATAGAAACATAAATCAGCCATTAATGGACCAAATACTAATTTATTATTTTTTATTTAAATGCGTTGTATTTTGTATTTTCCAGGCATAATGCCATTTTATCGATCAATCAAGTATCTATTATTTTAAGCTAATGTGAAAATTTTGCATATACCAAACATGACTTAAAGCCATTTGATGCGTTAAAATTGGGCTTCTTTAAGAAGCTCCTGCTCTTTCCGACACTCTGCCTTAAGCACATCACCACAAAAATATTCCTCCTTAATGCGGTTTACAACTGTTCTTAGGAGCTCAGTGACATAGTTATTTTTTTAGGTAACTATGGCTTTAACTGTGTGTCACAGCAATTACAGCCCCACAAACACGAGTGCTGCTCTTGAAAAACATTCCCATGTCCTAAATATGCTTATTTAGGACACCAGGGACATAAAGAGGTTAACAATACGGACAGGTTTTTTTTTTCAGCATCATTAATTGGAAATTATATAAATAAGTGTAAATTATTATAATATGAAATTTAGCATGAAGCAAGATAAACGATACAAAAAAAAACGCCCACCTCTAGTTTCACCAGGTGTTTACTAACTAATGCTGACGCTAGTCTGCAGGAGCTGAGAGGGGAAGGTGTGGCGGGAGGTTTTCTGTGGGGTAGAAGATCCGAGAAGTGGAAATAACTTTGTAAAAGAAAGCATTCAGACACCCAGTGTTTCCCCCAGCGTATCATAAGCCTGGCGGGCCCCCAGGCTTTACTTATGCCCCCAATAGGCTAAGCATTGTTTATTTGTCTTTTTAAAATGTATTTTTTTAAAGACTTTATAGATGGTGTTTATCTTCCAGTCTTTTAATAAAACATAATTATCAAGTGATATTTTTAAATTTTGAGTCAACGTTGAACATTTTGTAACTCAAAAACACGATGGGCCGCTGGATGAATGACTGCCCAACTACCAGGCTTAGATTTAAGGATTCGTCAAACATAAATTAACTTTTTTGATGAGGAAGTGGCATAAATCTAAAAAAAGTGGATTCTACACAATACTCCACCTCTAAAACTCAATGTAAAAGTTTTTTTCAATATCAAAGTAATATTTCTACGAGTAGTAATAGGCTCTGTTGCATACCTGTAGCAGCTGCTGCTTTAGTTTCTGACTGTCTGAAAAGTGCAGCTCACTCAGCAGGTCAGACACCAGGCCTGAGGCTGGAGCACGCAGGAAAACGTCGCTGTTGCGCGGCGTGGAGTAGCGATGGACGAGGCCGTTGCTTTTGGAGCTGGGCGCAGACGCAGATCCGTTGGTGTGACTGCTGTCCTGGTTTTCTTCATGAGCGTCGCCCTCCCCTCCATGGCCCTCCTCCTGGCTGTCGTCCAGCCGGTCCAAATGGAGCTCCAGGTTCCCCACAGAGTCGAACGGGTTGAGGGTCAGGGCGGAGAGCTCCCGCCGCAGACTGTTCTTCTGCTCCCGCTCCTCCTTCAGCGCTTCCAGGGCCTCGTCCAGCTGCCGCTCCGCGATCTCCCTCAGCCTCGCGGCTTCTTCCAGCTGCGCTCGCAGCTCATCTTGCTCTTCGTTCTTCTGGGATAGCTCAAGCTTTATTGATTCAAACTCCACCTAAACGCAGATTAATTCAGTTAATTCAAAGACTAAAACAAATTTTGACAAACTTCACATCTATAATATTGTTAAAATAAAACCCTGTTATATACACACAATTAACACAAACTCAACAGGCAGCAGTAAAAGAAAAAGACATCTGACCTGGTTTTCCTTTAGCACAGACACTTGTTTCTGTAAGGAGATATTTTCTTCTTCCAGCTCGCCGTTGTCCTGTAGCTGACGCAGCTCACGTACTTTATATTCCTTCATTTCATCCCTCAAATGGTTCTTCTCTGCTTCCAGACATTCACATTCCTACAGGACGTAGCAAAACTTGCAATTCAGACTGGAAAGTTGATATATTGAATAATGGACAGAATACACGAGGCCCCGACAGGATTGATTGGTGGATACACATCGTACCTTCTTAAGCTGGGTGGAGAGCCCCCCCAGCCTGTCGAGCTCTGCGTGGGCGTTGCCCAGAGCAAGACGCGTCTGTTTGAGCTCAGCCTGAACTTCCTCCATCCGGGTTGCCATGGCAGCCTCTTTGGAGGCCGTCTCCTGCAGCAGGCTCTCTTCCCGACACTCTCCATCAGCAGCTGCACGCTTCTGGCTGCTCACAGAATCTGCAAAAGCCTTCACACAAACAAAAGAAGTGAAAAATGGAGGGAAAACGTGAAGTATCTCACAAGCATCTATGTGAAAAAGTCACTGATTTGATGGATGAATCAAGGACAACTCAAAGTTATCCTAGATTCATAGATAGGAATAAACACAGACTTTAATCATCCGGTTCCTAACTATGGTGCTGCAGAAACACAGTGAAGGCCTAATGATTGGCTTATAGCCTGTAATCAGGAAGCAGATCACTGATGGTGCCAGTGAAAAGTGTTTCACTGGAAAGTGCTTTGTTGTTGCATAATAATGCTAATTGGAGGCACTAGCTCACACTGCTTTCCTTAAATCTTGAGTATCCAAGAAATTCTGTTTAAGCCGATTATGAAAGATTTAAAATTCTGTAAGCTTGTGACCCTTAAGAAAGAGCTTGTCCTAACACTGAGTTTGAAAAATACCTTTCTCTGCAACATTTATTAACAAGAAAGGCTTCAACTAATGATTATCCTGACGATTAATCGCATAAAAATACATTGTAAGGCTTCTTCTGACAATTGTTATTTCAATAATCTGTTGATTACTTTTTGGATCAACTAATTAATAAAAGGATAGCAAAAGGTAGTTAATAGGAGATTTCAACTTATGCGGAATTTGAAGCAGGTGAAGCAAAGTCTGACATTTGAGAACTTTTAGGTATATCTTTTAGGTTTATCTTCAATTTAAAATATAGATTTCAGGGTTTCCACCTAAGCATTATAAGCCTGGCAGGCCACCAGGCTTTACTTGTGCCCCCACCAAGCTAAGTATTGCTTATTTATTTAGCTCTTTTTTCAAATGTTTGCATTCTTAAAGACTTTACAGTCGGTGTTTAGGAATTAATCTTCCAATAACATAATTATCGAGTGATATTTTCAATTTTTTTTGTTAACTTTAAACATATTTAACTCAAAATCCCGACTGGCTGCCCTAGCACCCAACCACCAGGCTTAGCAAGTTTTCTGGGGCAAACCCTGAATTTTTTGCAGTTTTGGCTTATTTACTACTCTGGGTATAATGTTTATTTAGCAAATGATAAATGGAGCAAATACTCCAGTTATCAATTAATTGATTACTATATCAGTTGACGATTATTTTTCAAATACTAGTTCATCACAATTAATTTTCAGCCCTATGACAAAGAGTCTTGAATGCCTTTAAGAAAAAGTTTGACTGTTACATTTCTTCATTTTAATTACATTAATTTGTAATATATATCATCATGACTAGGTTCTCTCTTCATAAAGTTTACAGTATGTTGATCTCCCTCACATGCTAGTATGCTAGTGTTCCAGGTCATTTCTGAACTCAAGGGTCTAAAATACATACATTAATAAAATGCATTAGGAATGGCTGACCTAATAATTGGGATTGGGCCTTTCAAACAAATGGTACTGAAGTCCAGATGAAACTTAACTCCCGTTCCCAGTTGTCTGGGATTCTGTTTGCCGCACCCGCAGTGTGCTATGTACGATGGATAGTGGACATTTTTTTAACAAGCATGGAGTATTTTCTTTTGCAAATGAAGTAATATTGCATTTTCAGCCAGGCTGATTTAATGAAACTTTGTTTTTGCCCCCAAAATTAAGTATTTGTTACCCATTACTATTCATAGTGATGGGAACATGCCAACTTGTCAACAAATCCAAGTCAAAAACAGAGCGAAAGCCAGTGGAAACCATTGTTAGAAAAGCAAAACACTAATGGTCTGTTTGCACTACGAAGCAAGATTTTCTGAGTTTCCAGTCGGAAAAACAATCAACATGAATGCCACTAGAGTTCAGGATTCCTCCTGGGAAAGACAGAGCTCGCAGGGAGACACAGAGTTCACTGTTTGCATCTAATTAAACCCATAAAGCTGTACAATGTGTGTCTGAACAAAAGATGGACATCCTGATAATCCTACCCTCATGATGCCTCAGACATTACATGATAAAGTTTAATTTCCTTTTAGGCCATAAATGGAGCCAAGCTTTCATCTTAGTGGAATAATTCCTGAAACATAATTAATACAAATTTAAATCTATGACTCATAAAGGTGCAAATATAAAGAGGAAGAAGAGGAATTTTTAAACGGCTTTGAGAAACGCTGCGAGCCGCTCCTCAGCTGTGAAAATTCAAATCATCAGTAGGAGCAGTGACATAGCACCGTTATGTTATTTGCATTTCTGCAAACATTGTAGACTTAAACTATCCCATTGGTGTATAGTTATATCACACAACAATATTTATAAACGGAGGATTATTGACTTTTCAGTCTGGGATTAAAAGGTCATGGAAGCACATCACTTTAAATCTGTCACACATGCTGGATCAAATGATTATGTTATCATTGCAAAAATTCACCTTGGATGTTTTTGTTAGTTTGTTGATGGTTGTATCATCTAAAACATTGATGGTGAACACATTTGTTTTACCTCTCTGAGCTGCTGCAGCTCCAGCTTTAGGGACTCGTGTTCCTCCTCCAGTTGCGTGTGTTTCATCTTGAGAGCGGCGCTTTCTTCCAACACCACCAGCCCGTACCGAGCGGCCTGCAGCTTTTCATCCGTCGCCTCTTGGAGCTCCAGGGTGAGCCGCATCACCTCTGCCTTCAAGTCTCTGCTGCCCATATCTGCTTCCACATCTTCCTCGACCTCTCCACCCGCCGGGTCGGCATCCGTCTCCAACATCTTTACCCGGCCTCGCGCTTATCTTCTGACGAATCGCTACCACACCCTCACTCCTCCACCCTCATAACCACTGGCCTGCAAACGAGAGGCACAATATTGACACCTTGGATGGTTCTGTTGCCAACAATGCTAGACAGGCTTTCACAAATTGTCTGTAAACAACCCGCCAAGCCATCCAGAAATGTAGGTTAAATCTCTGTCATGCAAAGAAGAAACCATATGTGAATGGTGCAGCCCTGAGACAAGGCTGATTTAAAAAGAGTGTGAGTGGAAAAGCATTGTCTGGTCATTTAAATCCAAATAAATGACCATAAAAAATTCCTGCATATCTGGTGGTACACATCATAAAAGGTAACATTCATTGCACCACTTTTACAGTTCATCAATTGGCTTTCAAGGAGTTTTCTCCACTATAGAATCAGAGTAAACATTTTAAACTTCAAAATTAGTACCAAATAAGATACATTTTACTACTTGCAAGTCGCAAGTTGTGCAATTTGCAAATCATTTCATTATGTTTTTATGTATAGCTTACATATAATAGTGCCTCAACTTTACCAGAATCCCAAACATTAAAATTGTTAATAGTTGAGTTAGAAAGCGTTTTAACTTGAACCTCTGCTTGGTGAGGCTAAAGTCTGAAATTACCAAACTGCAAGCATTTCATGTGCATCTCATGTTTCAATGCTGACTCTGCTTATGCTCTCATGTGAAACTAAAGTGTTTGCGTTCAGAGACAGCACATCAGAGTGGTTCATTCAAATTATTTAGAGCTCAGTATGTGTGACTGCTGTGATCATCAGCAGATTGGATTCCATTATTGCAGTGATATGGCTGAGCTCAATCCTCTTGCATCTGCCAAACTATGGAATTACAGATCCCAGCTACAGTATAAAGTATAACTGAAAAGGAAAGGAAAAACAACAACGTGGATTGATATTCCTGTGACGTGGGGAGTCGTGGACACCCTTTGACAGAAGATGGACATACCAGCTGTCCCTGTTGTTGCCCAGATGATGTGGTCAGTTAGTCATCCTGAAAGCATCTGATGCTACCAGCCCACGAACCAATCTCTCTTAGTATCAAAAACAAAAATTCAATCGTATATTGATTATTTTCCAATACTGACCTGTTATATAAATGATAAGAGATCGCCTGACAGGGATACAGAACCGAACACGACACCGGTACAGAGAAACAGGACACTGACCAGACTGTTAGCATCGGTAGCTTAGCTTAATGTGATGCACTCAGCAAATAAAGTCATAATGTTGACTTACTGGCAGAGTTTGGAGATCAAGCATCTAAATCTTATACGTTTTCAAAGCAGAGGACGAACCAAACTAAACAGAGATCTCTCTTTCTCTCCCAGTTGAATTCTATCAGAGGAGCTAATTAGCCCGGGCAGTCAGCCATTAGTAGCCAAACTACGTACTCACCTCGCTGTTTTATTTCACCGATAGAGCTCGCTTGCCGCCACAAAACCGCCGCTTTGCTCCTTCCAGAGGAGCGCTCAGCAACAGCGGTCTCCTGATCGCGTTAGTTAGCGGCGGTTCCAGGTTTGGTTTAGCGAACAGCCGCTCCCCTTCCTCCCAACCCACCTGCTTCCCTCGTTTGGCGGAGGGGTCGAGTGTCAAACGCGCGCTGAAAACGTGAAGGCACAGGGGCGCCCTCTTATGTACCACCAGGGTACTGCAGATGGAACCACAGAGCTGCAGGGTGTTTGCGTCTGAAGTTAAGTAAACGCACTTAACCTTTTAATGTTGTTAGATAAGTACTGCACTTCACGTGAATAAAGAGGAACACAAAGTGCACGTTTATTTGTGTATTTACTTTTAGGAGCGGTTTTATGTTTCTATTGACTTCGTTAACTAAAATTATAATGAAAGGATTGATTCTCTTACTGGTGTGAAATTTCTGAATAATCTACAGATCCGTCAAAAATGCATGTTTATTTGTTTTGATTTTCTTATTTCAGTCTTTAAAATATTTTGCACAAGGCTTCATGTTTATCTCTTTCAAAAACATAAAATATTTTTGACAACTCAGTTCTTATGCAATCTTTTTAGGAAATTATTTAGTGTGATCAGGTGTGTCATCGTTCAAAACTCTAATATGTTATTCCACAACAAAGTATACAATACATAAACACTTAAAAGCATTGAAATTGTAATATTTTCTCCTCTTTTTTGGTTCTACCACTAATTTATTTGAGTTAATCTTAGAGTTAGACTGCTTGGACTTAAACTACATTATTCTAAAAGGCTTGTCAGTTTCTTTCAAGCACATTACTTATTCTTTAAATAAATGAAATAGCCCTTTACTGACTGACTCTGAAGCTAAAGCGAAGGATCAAACGTCAACCTCGGCTTCGTGCTTATTACCGTCTCTATCCGAAAAATATATAATGTATAATTCATAAATATCAAATACAAACATCTTGAAATCAATAATAAATGCGTTTTAATAAAATGACAAGAAAAAATAGACAAAAGAAGACTTCCGCTTGCGTCGGCACCAACATCCGGTTTACTTCCGGCTTTTAACTGTGGCTTGTTGCCGCTCTCTAGTTTAAGTCTGACAGCATGAAGCTCGTCACCTGGAATATTAACGGCATTAGGACGTTTAAAAGTGGGATAAAAAAGGCTCTCGACAACCTGGACGCAGATATAATTTGTGTCCAGGAGACAAAAGTCACAAGTAAGTGTTAAAAGCAGAGAAGCTACCGCCCATTGTGCTCCAATCAGAGCTCCGTTATGAAAAATAATGAAAAGTTAATCCCATTTATGCTTTTCAGGAGACCTGCTGGATGAACGGACGGCTATTGTTGACGGCTACAACTCGTATTTCAGCTACAGTCGAGGACGCAGCGGTTATTCAGGTTTATAACGCATCTATCCCAGCCATAAATACCACACAAACTATGATAAAGAAGATTTGCTGTGTTTATTTAAAGATAGGTCCTGCAGAACAAGGAAGTTCATAACCTTATGTCAACACCTTTGCCTGGTGTCCACAGGTGTTGCGACTTACTGCAGGGATAATGCCACTCCTTCTGCTGCTGAGGAGGGACTCACAGGCCTGCTCACCAACCATGAAGGAGCTGTTGGATGCTATGGTGACCACCGTGACTTTTCAAGTGAAGAGCTGCAGCTTTTGGACAATGAGGGGCGAGCCGTCATCACGCAGCACAAAATAATGTAAGAGAAAAATTCAAAATTCATTTTCTTCTGCACAATGGTGCAGTTAGTAGCACCGTTGCCTTGAAGCAAGAAGGTCCTGGGTTTGATTCCCAGCACGGGGTCTTTGTCCCTGTGCATGTGTGGGTTCTCTCCAGAACCCTAGATTCTCCCTAGGTGTGAGTGTGTGTGTAGTTGTTTGTCCTGTCCATCTCTGTGTTGCCCTGTGACAGACTGGCGACCTGTCCAGGGTGAACTCCGCCCTAAACGTTTGGAGATAGGCATCTGCACCTTCCGACTCCACCAGGGACAAGGGTGTACAGAAAATGGATGGATGAACGGATGAAAAATTAATTTGTTAGAATGGCGACTGAATTTGGTTTCTGCATTCAGATGTTTTGGTTATTAATTAATATTAACCACATTCCAAACTTCATTCTTCTAAAAACAACCCATCTAATTTAAGCAGTGCTTGATTTTTTTTTAAAATTCTTTTGCTTCCCATCCACAGGTGTCAGGACACAGAGCAGACTGTTACTGTAATAAATGTCTACTGCCCACGCGCTGACCCAGACAAGCCGGAGCGAAAGCAGTTCAAGCTGCAGTTCTACAAGCTGCTTCAGTGTCGGGCTGAAGCGTTACTAAAAGGCGGGAGGTGAGTGTAGAATGAAGCGTTTGGCACAGGTGTTTCCTGCTTTTACCACGAACGTTTCAACTACAACATAAACTACTTTTCTTTTGATATTATTACTACTTTACAGCTGCAATTCAATTAAATTCTGCTTAAATAAATAGCAACAATTCAAAATAAATTATGTTTTGAAGGACTTTGCCAAAAAAAGTAATTTCAGTTCAATCACACATGCATTCCAGTTGATCCTAGTCATCAAGCTATAAATAAATAAATCAATCAAGCTCTCTTCATCATTCAAAATAGCTTAAAAATCTTCTAAGGAAACTAGAGGAACCTAGCAAATTGCAACATTGTGGACTTTCATTGACCTAGTTGCATGATAATTCCCATTTGCAGCTTTCACAAGCCATGCAGAGGACAATAATGGGAGGAGATGTGGCGAGATTTGACCACAATTTAACTTTTTGACCTACATTTTAAAAGCTATTTGTGGTAGATTATCAACACGGCACCTTATACCCACAGTGAAGCATGGTGGTGGATGCATCATTCTTTTTCAAACATTCATGAGTCATGAAGGCCCAGCCAAAGTCCAGACCTAAATTCACAGAAAATCTCCATTGAATGTAAGATGGAGTGAATAGTCAAAAGTTTAGCAAACTGGCAGAGAAATCCTCCAGAAGCATTTCGGCTGTACTTCATTAACTTTCCACTTTCTGTTCCTCTATTACATAAAATCCTAATGAAATTCTTTGAACTTTGTGGTTGTAATCTGACAAAATGTTAAAATTGTAACTATCTTATTTCTCTGCTTCTTTCTACCAAATTTCTAAACAGTTTTTTCTGTTCTCCAGCCACGTCATTGTTTTGGGAGATGTGAATACTTCTCATCAGCAGATAGACCACTGTGACCCAAGAGATATTGTAAGTAAAAGCTTTAAAAACTGCTGAGATGGAAGTCCATTTTTAAACTAATATTATTAAGACTCAAAAGAAAGCCTACAACCTTTAAAATCTCACCACTCCATTTTATGTACATTTCATGAAGGAGATTGCGCTCATGTCTTCTACGGAGGTTTTTATATCGTTTCCTTCTGTAGTTCTTGATGCAGCGCCACCACAGGCGAGGAGGGGAACAGGTTTATGAAGTGGTTTTGTTCGTTGGATACAGTGGACTATAAAAGCAAACCCCACCAGATGAAAGTGTAACAAATGTTGCAATTTTGGTCCCAATCAAACCGAGTTTACCAGTCTATGAGGTGTGAAAAGATCCGTGCTTTGACATTCAATCAATCGATCAGTAAATTTATTTGTTAGCACATTTCAATGACAAGTCCGTTCAAAGTTCTTTACATCATAAAAACAAAAAATACAAAGTCCTGAGCCCTGGAAGGTTGATACAACAACATCAGAGCTTGATGCCGCACATTAGCAAATTGCCACAACCTCTGCATATGTAGCGTATAGACTTGGGAACATTTCATTTAATCTTATGACGACCTTTATGCTACTTCCCCTCTGAAATGTTATGAAACCAGCGAGGATATGCTTATCTTGACACATGCCGCTTTTTCATTTCGACTTTGTCTTTGTTCTGTTGTTGAGGATTTAAATGATCAGAATCAAAGTCCTGGAACAGAAAGAAGTTGCACCTTTTTTTTGCCATTACTCTACTTGTTCCTGCTCAATAACCAAATGTTTTTCTTATATTTCTCAGGAGGACTTTGCTGAGAATCCTGGGAGGAAATGGCTGAATAGCTTTTTGTACAGTAGCGCTCAAGAAGAGGAAGAGGAGGAACATCATGAAAAATTAGAGACAACAGATTGTGTCCAAACGGGAAAATTTATAGACATGTTCCGCTACTTTCACCCAACTCGCACCAACGCCTTCACCTGTTGGTCAACTCTCACTGGAGCCCGACAGACTAACTACGGCACTCGTATTGATTATATATTTGCGGACCACCAGCTGGCCCAGGAGCAGTTTTCGGGGGCAGACATTATGCCGGAGGTGGAGGGCTCCGATCACTGTCCCGTTTGGGCGCACCTGAAATGTTCGCTTCTTCCCTGTTCCAAACCTCCGCCCCTCTGCACTCGCTACCTGCCAGAGTTTGCCGGCAAGCAGCAGAAACTCTCTCGCTTCCTGGTGAAGGTGGACCAAAAGTTCCTGGGATCTTTGCCAGGATCCCAGGAAGAAGAAGAAAAGAGGGAGAACGTGAACCCGTTTTGTGGCGATAGTAAAAAACGATCAGCGTCAGAATCTGCTGCCCCAAAGGGGAAAAAGTCAAAGACAACAAATACCTCCTCAAAGCCGCAGGGCAACCTCCTTTCTTTTTTCAAACCCAAACTCACAGATGTTAAACCGTGTGACAACACACCTGGTCTGGACCAATTTACCTCATCGCACAGCAAGCCAAAGGCATCCGTGACCAGTGAGCTGCGTTCAGGAACGGGCGGCACGACTGAACACACTGAGCTTGTTGTTGACGCTCCGTCCCAGCTGTGCACCAGCAGCGGCGCAGGACAAACAGGCAGCGAGGTGAAGGCCAAACAGCCGGCCTCTCGGCCCACTGAGGGGCAATCAGATGTCAAGAAGGGGGCATCATCTGTGTTTTGGAAGTCTGTGCTTCACGGCCCGCCCCCGGCCCCCTGCTGCAAGGTGCACAGGGAGCCCTGTGTGCTGCGTACTGTGAGAAAAGACGGCCCAAACATGGGCAAACAGTTCTTTGTGTGTGGACGGCCTCAGGGACACGCTTCCAACCCCGAGGCGCGTTGCAACTTCTTCATGTGGGTAGAGAAAGGAAAGTAAC